GCAACCAAGCTATGTAAACACTTGATACAATAAATTCAAAGACCAACCCATGATGCAATATGTTTTTCAAAATGCCAAACTTCCACAGAGTTTAAACCAATGAGAATAACAAGGGAATTTCCTTCTAAGTTATATGTGAAAAAACCACTTGTATACTACTTGTTACTTACTGAGTGCATTTTGTTGAGTAGCAGTAGCATTAGCAGGTTGTGGGGTTTTTGATACTGTGGTTATTTTACCACATTACAAAACTGTAAACAGCCTCTCATTGCTTCTGATTGTGATGCAACTACTTATTGTCCCAACCACTCACTCATTTTTAATCAATTAAATTGGTCTTAACAGATGATAGGGTGACTTTTAACGTATTACAATTTTACTTATCTTATCTCTTAATTCTTGAACCTCATTGGTCCAAACTCTTTCAGCTACCTTTTTTCCTACACGGTTTTAACTCCTTTAAGCATATTATTACTCCATTCCGTTTCCATTTGACGATGCCAATCCAATGCAGGTCAAAAAGAGGACTTTTCAAACATAATTGAAACTACGTGTAAAACACACTCGATATCTTAGGTCACCATTGAACACGTATAGAACTCGTTTATTTTTTAAGCAACACGTGAAAAAGATTAACACCTAATGATTGTCAAACTGATCCAATTCAGTTAAATGTAGGGTGTGCCCAAGTAATTACTTAATGCGGAGATAAAAGTAGGTTTAGACGTTTGTGTAACTCACCTGGTGATTAACAGATAATAAAAGAAAAATTACACCACAGCGATCAACATAAAGCTTGACATTAGACGGTAAAACTTTCGAGATAATTGGAAAGTAGCTTATCGAGTAAGTTAAAACTGCAGCGACGCCTGCTCGTGAAAAACAAACATTTAATATGGTAGTTTTATCGATCTATTTTCGCTCTTAGCCTGATTATTTGCTTGAAGAATTTAATATTGATAGTATGTATTAGTGAAGATGGTTTCATACGTCAATGTCTACTTGAGACGTACCAGTTTGTTTATCATTCTGAAATGGACTTGTGTTAAGTGATGCTTGTGAATCATTAAGGCTCATAAAAACTAAAATTAAATAACAAGAAAACTATTTTTGAAGTTAAAGATTTTGAGTTACACAATCCTTTAAACCTCGTATTGTTTTCTTACAGTTACAACTACAACAAACACTTATCAATGACAAAAATAACTTACTAAGATTATTCAAAACACCTAAGAGAGTTTGTCTTCATAGTTACAGTTTAGAAAACTATATTTTTTTCTATTTCATTTTTGTAAAAAATACGTTTAAGGATCAAAGCTACATTGCTAGTAGGAAAATAGTGGATTTATAAAATACGAATTAAAATATGAATTTTAATTATGCGATTACAGTGAATCTCAATTGTGTGATCAATTTTGTCCCAATAGAGGATTTTTCCTACCAAATTCCAAATTTACTTGGGAAAAACTCACTAGTTTGAATAGCCTGGGCTTATTGAAACAAAGGGAAACTTGAACAAAGGAAATTCTGTGTCATGAATTTCTGAGAAAATTGCTTCTTAGATTTGTCTTTAATAACTTTCGTGTTATATCTAGGATGATTAGATTGTTTAATAACTTGCGTTCGTTACCTACAAGTTAGCCGTATTTTTATTGTTAATTCAATATAATTTCTACGGCTTTGAAATGTTTCTAGTAAAAAACATGTAACTAAAAAACAGAAGATTTAGGATTCATACAAAAGTATTGTCAATATGTTTGTTATCTAGGGGTCTATTTGTTACTATACCATACGTTGGTGTTTATAATGAAAAAAACAAAGAATATATTTTTGGTAAAAAATGTCACCAAAACGTCTAAAATACTTTAGCACACTTTATTTGTAGCTCAAGTCCCATAATCTTAGTTTGAGCAACTTTTTAAAAGCTGTTTGGGAAAAATTAAATCTACTACAATTACGTTACAAAATTTTCTTAGTCTAAATGTATACCAATATTTTCTAACTTCCAACTAATTAATGTAAACTATGATACCTTAGCTTACAATTAAAAAAATTATAAACTAAAAACAAATACTCTCATCATTTAATATTGAGGGGGATAAACACTCACAACGTAGTCCCTTGGGCAGGTCGTGTTAACAGGCTGTAATATCCGCAAACAATATCGTTCATTTCTAACGCCACAGGCCTATTGAATCATTTCTCGCAGGGAATATTTCCATGAGTGTATATTTATTTGTTTGTATGCACAAAAGGATTTTTTTTAGAATTTAAATGCCATTTTACTGTTTTGCGATTAAAAACTCGTTTGACAAGATGTTTGGACATACAAATCCACTCCACATACATGACAAAGGTTGTAGGAACAATTAAAAGTAGTGTTTAGTGTAAGTTTTATATGCGTGAATATGCAGTGGTTGTTGTATGACATCACTCAATCAGGTGACGTAAATTAAATTATTAAAATATTTGTACATACTGTAAATCATCAAACGTTTTAGGTTTTGTGATTTTACTTATAAAGGACATTTTAAATCACCCGTGTGGTGTTCATGCTCTTTCTCATATATTTACATCATAGCGTGTGTCATAATAATTTTACTAACGAGTAGTAAGTTAGTAAAATTAGTTTACGCAACGCCCGCATAAGGATAGTCTTAATGACGCGAGTAGATAATTTAAGGTAGAGGCTTGGCGAGTATCTTAAAACTTCTACGAGTGTCGTAAAGGCTAATTACAAGAGTTGCGTACTTTACTTACGACCATTACTTAATTTATAAAAATCACTAACCATAACTTCCTTCATAACATAAAAGAGGTTATGATTTCGTTAATAACCTCTCATTGCCACTGATTGTGATGCAACGACTTATTTTCCCACAACTCACTCATTTTTAATCACCTAATTGGCCTTAACAGATTATAGGGTGACTTTAAAAGTACTGCAATTTTATTTATATTCTCTTAACACTTGACCCTCATTGGTACAAACTTTTACTGCAAAATAAACAAAACAATACTGTTAAGTAAGTAAACAATACTTTTAGTGATTGTTACTCAATTCCAAAACTGAATTGAAAAAGGCTAGTTTAGAAAATGTCTTAGGTAAAACAAATAACGTCCCCCGAAAAATTATGTATTAATAAGGTTGTATTAATAGGCCTAATACATTTATATTTTATTTCTAACATACACTCAATCTTTTTATCGTATATACAAATCTCTGCGTATTCAGTATCATCATTTTTCTAAACGTAACAAAATAAAAAAAAAATAAATAAATAAATAACGTTCACAAGAGTGTTTTTATAAAATCGGTTACATAAAATGGGAGTTTTGCGAATGAAAAGCCGCTATTTTAGACGGTTTTGTCAATGATTCAGGAGAAGCGCATCCCGAACGTTACAGAGAGTACAAATTTCAATTCCATTACCTCGTTGGAAGCTGCGCGGAAATTGGGTTGGTGACGTCATCATCACGACTAAACAATTCAGCAGGCTAAAGGTTCAATTAGGCTAGCAAATTCACCTATTCACCCTTGCATTTTCAAACCCCTCTAAACCGGACGTAGAATCAGAAAACAAGTTCACAAAAACGTGTACGAATTTTCAAATTGGGTAACTTAAAAATATATTCTGTCGAAAAACTAAAAGTTGAAAAATAGTGTGTTAATTTCATTACTAAATATAACTAATGTATATAAGCTTTCTAGTTCAATATTTATTTTTTATTTGTCTATAAACTTTATTTAAATATTCATATATGAAGAACATCTAAAAAATCGAAATCATATCTTGATTAGCCAAATTATTATTGCTTATTATTTATTAATTATTATTTATTATTGAAAAATGCCACTTGAACAAAATATAATATTTTTTTCAGGGTGCTCAGTTGTGCTTTATTCACTACTTAAAAATGATATTTTTAAATCAATATTGTAATATGTAAAAGATCAGAGACTTTTATTCTTTATTGTAAAAAGTAAAGCTGAATTTGTGGGTTACATGCCAAAATGAAATAACCTTCATCACTTGTATTTTACATTACAAAGTCCATTCTCCAGAATCCAAGTGAAATTGATTATGCTTTGGTGTTTAAGGTGGAAGAAGTCGTGTGTTTTGATGTTCAACATATTTTTTTTACTTCTTTGTAAATTATATTTTCATATTGGTTAATTTGTTACAAAATTAAAACTAATTTTTGTTGTCCAAGACCCTGTCACCCTCATGTGGTATTTAAGATAATGGATTATTTCGAGAAATTTAAGTGTAATATTATTTTGTCTTTATTATTTTGTCTTTATTATTTTGTTTTTTTTTTTTACTTTAAAATATTAATGTAGTATGAATTATTATGTTTATATAACCACTAATGACATATACATTGATTAGTGTCATGGTGGAGGTAGTATAGTTTAACAGGGTTTAAAGGTTACCTTATTATTAGTCTCATAGTGTTAATCAATAGACGTGTTAACCTTAAGCACTATTTTTTATAATTTTGTATACAACATATTTCCACATTCAACTAAGAACTAAGAAGTTAAATTGGATTTATATTGAATAAATAAAATGTTATATAATATGAACATGACTGTTGCATTAAAATATATTTATAAAAGGGGAAAAATTAATTAATACACCTATTATATAAAATAAATGTATTAGGAACTTGTTTTTATTATATTTTCATGTGTTTCAAATCGTAAATTTAAATAAAGAAGTACCCGAAGAGGTTCACACACGTCATGTCGTTTCGTGTACAAACTCAATTCATAAAAAAATCAAAAGGTATATTTTGAGTTCAAAGCATACATAAATATTATTTTTAACCAAATTATCCACTCTCGGGAGTTCACAATCTGGTATTTTATCAGCTTGAAAGCGTTGACGTCAAACCCTGTTCAAAATCTTATGTTTATGATAATTATGTATCTTATGTCAATTCGTACCACAATTTCCTCAATATATGTGTAATTCTCTGTTTGTATCACTGACCTTATCAATCCCCGGTCACCGTAGCGCCATGATAACAGCAGGGTGGTACCTATATCATGGTCCACGTAACGCGTCACACAACCTCATCCCACTACGTCACAAAGCCGACTGACCCGTGCCACCCTCCTCGTCAGGCGTGCCAACCCTTCTCCCCGCCGATATAAATTTCCCTTCTTCTCCCTTGTATGCATGCCGACATTAATTACCGTCTGATTTATGTGGCAGGCTGGCATTTTGTTTCTTTCTCGGAATATTTAAATACCGGATGCTCACGCAAGCACCTGACCTACGTTTAAAACTTTGACGGTTTATTGGGGGTTTTAAGCTTTCTGAAAAAAGTTGAAAATAAAATTAGGGGTGTATTGCTGTGGAAAATTGTAAATAGTGGAGGAACATGCAGGTCCGTGAAGTTGGCGTACCCATATTAGCGTATCCACTTTTGATCATACCAATCGTTAGTTCATCGTTAGTTCTCGATAGTTCCCAAATTTTTTCGTTAGTTCTCAAAAAATAAAAAAGTTATAGCCGATTATAAGTGGGTACGCTAACTTCACACTTCCGGGTTCTAGCACGCGCCGTTTTCTGAGGAGAAATGTTTACATCTATATACCAATCGTTAGTTCTTCGTTAGTCCTCGATAGTTCCCAAATTTTTTCGTTAGTTCTCAAAAAATAATAAAGTTATGAGGCATACAAAGTGGGTACGCTAACTTCACAATTGTAAAATTTCCAGCGGGAACAGTTTTTTTACTATAAATGCCTATATCTATATACCAATCGTTAGTTCTTCGTTAGTTCTCGATAGTTCTCCAAAATTAACGTTAGTTCTCAAAAAATAAAAAAGTTACGAAGCATAAAAAGTGAGTACGCCAACTTCACAGTTATAGAATTTCCAGCGGGCACAGTTTTTTTACTATAAATGCCTATATCTATATACCAATCGTTAGTTCTTCGTTAGTTCTCGATAGTTCTCCAATATTTACGTTAGTTCTCAAAAAATAAAAAAGTTAAGAGGCATACAAAGTGGGTACGCCAACTTCACAATTATAGAATTTCCAGCGGGCACAGTTTTTTTACTATAAATACCTATATCTATATACCAATCGTTAGTTCTTCGTTAGTTCTCGATAGTTCTCTAATATTTACGTTAGTTCTCAAAAAATAAAAAAGTTAAGAGGCATACAAAGTGGGTACGCTAACTTCACAATTGTACAATTTCCAGCGGGAACAGTTTTTTTACTATAAATGCCTATATCTATATACCAATCGTTAGTTCTTCGTTAGTTCTCGATAGTTCTCCAAAATTAACGTTAGTTCTCAAAAAATAAAAAAGTTACGAAGCATAAAAAGTGGGTACGCCAACTTCACAGTTATAGAATTTCCAGCGGGCACAGTTTTTTTACTATAAATGCCTATGTCTATATACCAATCGTTAGTTCTTCGTTAGTTCTCGATAGTTCTCCAATATTTACGTTAGTTCTCAAAAAATAAAAAAGTTAAGAGGCATACAAAGTGGGTACGCCAACTTCACAATTATAGAATTTCCAGCGGGCACAGTTTTTTTACTATAAATACCTATATCTATATACCAATCGTTAGTTCTTCGTTAGTTCTCGATAGTTCTCTAATATTTACGTTAGTTCTCAAAAAATAAAAAAGTTAAGAGGCATACAAAGTGGGTACGCTAACTTCACAATTGTACAATTTCCAGCGGGAACAGTTTTTTTACTATAAATGCCTATATCTATATACCAATCGTTAGTTCTTCGTTAGTTCTCGATAGTTCTCCAAAATTAACGTTAGTTCTCAAAAAATAAAAAAGTTACGAAGCATAAAAAGTGGGTACGCCAACTTCCCAGTTATAGAATTTCCAGCGGGCACAGTTATTTTACTATAAATGCCTATGTCTATATACCAATCGTTAGTTCTTCGTTAGTTCTCGATAGTTCTCCAATATTTACGTTAGTTCTCAAAAAATAAAAAAGTTAAGAGGCATACAAAGTAGGTACGCCAACTTCACAATTATAGAATTTCCAGCGGGCACAGTTTTTGTACTATAAATACCTATATCTATATACCAATCGTTAGTTTGTCGTTAGTTCTCGATAGTTCTCCAATTTTTTCGTTAGTTCTCAAAAAATAAAAAAGTTATGAGGCATACAAAGTGGGTACGCTAACTTCACAATTGTACAATTTCCAGCGGGAACAGTTTTTTTTACTATAAATGCCTATATCTATATACCAATCGTTAGTTCTCGATAGTTCTCCAATATTTACGTTAGTTCTCAAAAAATAAAAAAGTTACGAAGCATAAAAAGTGGGTACGCCAACTTCACAATTATAGAATTTCCACCGGGCACAGTTTTCTAAATAAAAATGCTTATATTTATATACCAATCGTTAGTTCTTCGTTAGTTCTCGATAGTTCTCCAATATTTGCGTTAGTTCTCAAAAAATGAAAAAGTTACGAAGCATAAAAATTGGGTACGCCAACTTCACAATTATAGAATTTCCAGCGGGCACAGTTTTTTTTAAATAAAAATGCTTACATCTATATACCAATCGTTAGTTCGTTGTTAGTTCTCGATATTTCTCCAATATTTACGTTAGTTCTAAAAAAAAAATAAAAAAGTTACGAGGCATACAAAGTGAGTACGCTGACTTCAAAATTATAAAATTTCCAGCGGGCACCGTTTTCCGACTAAAAACGCTTAAATCTATATACCAATTTTTAGTTCCATGCATTGTAATTTGATTCATCTTCACACAATGAAAATCAAAGTAACACTGACATTAGAATAACTATCACATTATGATTCTCTCGAAGAGAAAGGATTGCTTATCAGTTCCAGGATAGCGCTTATCTGTGATATTCGCAATAGTAGTTGCAGGTGTCACTCGGTTAGATTATTTTTTAGGAGTGATAATTTTGATTAAGTTATCAAAATGATTAACAGTTGAATATGTTCAGTTAATTAGAACATCCAAAAAAGACAACGCTTCCAAAAATTGGTTTTAGATAAGCAATGAAATCATATTTATACCTACTTAGTTGTGTGAAAAAGTGCATTTTATAAAAAGTCCATCATGGAAACAAAATAAACTATCCATCAAAATGAAAACCAGAGTCTGCTAAGTAAAATGGTATAAAGTAATTTATAAGCAGTGATTATTTGAATTGGATTAAGCAGATAAAATATGTACGATCAAAGAACTTCTGTTTGGTTAATTAAACTAATCGTTTGTATTGTTTGTATTTGTTTGTGTTCGGTATTAGTATTATAAAATTACATCATTAAACGTAACACGTTACGAGTGACAGTTGCACGGATCGAGACTGGAAGGTCATACGGACTTGAACAAACTGGAGACTGGAGTAGTGGATGGAATAAATGTGTACAACACATTACTAGCATGGCGTATTGGGTATGGCGGGGTCGAGACAATATTTATTTAGTTGTATAGTAGTATACTGTAAGCATTTTTCGTTGAATGAAGGTGCGCGCTGGAAATCAGAAGCATTAAATAAGTTAATCTATTGATTATTGGCTATACGTATATTTATTGAATTTTTTTAGAACTAACAAAATAAATGAGTGAGCCCATCTTACGATTAATATTAAGATATAGGCACTTTTAGTCAGACAAGGGTGCACGCTAGGAATGATTTGGGTTTGAGGTTGGCATAACCACGTTTAAGACCTTATTGCCTTTTTATTTTTTAAGAACTAGTAATAATATTGGGGAACTAACACGACATAACGAAGAACTAAAGATTGGTAAATAGATATAAGCGTTTTTAGTCAGAAAACGGTGCCCGCAGGAAATTTTATAAATTTGAAGTCAGCGTACTCACTTTGTACGCCTCGTAACTTTTTTATTTTTTTGAGAACTAATGTAAATATTACAGAACTATCGAGAACTAACGAAGAACTAACGATTGGTATATAGATATAGGCATTTATAGTAAAAAAACTGTTCCCGCTGGAAATTGTACAATTGTGAAGTTAGCGTACCCACTTTGTATGCCTCTTAACTTTTTTATTTTTTGAGAACTAACGTTAATATTGGAGAACTATCGAGAACTAACGAAGAACTAACGATTGGTATATAGATATAGGTATTTATAGTAAAAAAACTGTGCCCGCTGGAAATTCTATAATTGTGAAGTTGGCGTACCCACTTTGTATGCCTCTTAACTTTTTTATTTTTTGAGAACTAACGTAAATATTGGAGAACTATCGAGAACTAACGAAGAACTAACGATTGGTATATAGATATAGTCATTTATAGTAAAAAAAACTGTGCCCGCTGGAAATTCTATAACTGTGAAGTTGGCGTACCCACTTTTTATGCTTCGTAACTTTTTTATTTTTTGAGAACTAACGTTAATTTTGGAGAACTATCGAGAACTAACGAAGAACTAACGATTGGTATATAGATATAGGCATTTATAGTAAAAAAACTGTTCCCGCTGGAAATTGTACAATTGTGAAGTTAGCGTACCCACTTTGTATGCCTCATAACTTTTTTATTTTTTGAGAACTAACGAAAAAATTTGGGAACTATCGAGGACTAACGAAGAACTAACGATTGGTATATAGATGTAAACATTTCTCCTCAGAAAACGGCGCGTGCTAGAACCCGGAAGTGTGAAGTTAGCGTACCCACTTATAATCGGCTATAACTTTTTTATTTTTTGAGAACTAACGAAAAAATTTGGGAACTATCGAGAACTAACGATGAACTAACGATTGGTATGATCAAAAGTGGATACGCTAATATGGGTACGCCAACTTCACGGACCTGGAACATGCTACTGATGTTTTTTTTTCATGCTTTGATCATAAATAAAGCACAAGAACTTTCAAAATTAGTTTCCACATGTTGATACATCAGCATTTGCCAAATAAAACATGCATAGATAACTCTGTATACTTCCGAATCTTTAGGATGATGGATTACAAATATTTTAACACGTAATTAGTACATTTGTACCTTCACTGTTCTACCTTTAATTTGACAACTAGTTTCAACATCTATGCCATAAATTATGCAATTTGTACTCGTATTTATAATTTAATTAAAATTTCTGTAAA